TGATTGCGAAGTATTTGATTTTATGAGAAATTAACCGCTAACTTGGAGCAAATTTGCAAAAGAGTAATAGCGATACCCAAGCCGGTGGTAAGTGTTCCTCCATTACCAATTAAACACTACTCTTTAATGTAGATCCAACACCGGTATCTTCAACAGGGACCTCGACCAATTCAACAGTGGATAGCCCCAATCAGACTACAAATATTAATGTACATATTTATTTTTTTGCTTTTCTAATATGTACCTGCCAATTCATACGGCTTTGAAGTGTTGTGGGTACTTTGCGCTATTTTATACGTTTGTCATCCAGACTAAGGCTACCGTGAATGGTTTAGGAGGAGGGGAGGAGCAGACAGAAACAATATAGGTCGATTTAGTATAAAACGGAGGTATTTCCGTGGGAAAAGGGTGGTGTGAACTGCTATCCGTGCTGCTACCGTCGTTTTTCGAGTATATCGAAAATTCGATGTCTACTCGATATACAACCGCCGCACAAAATCGCTATCCACTCGATATACGTACACCGAAAAACCCTATCTACCCGCCATCAAGGCGATATACTCTTGTTAAACTAAGGCCTGTAGGGGCAGTGGTTAGGTTCTGAAAAAAAAATTAAAAAGCAATAATTTCTAAACTGGAGTATCTACCAAAAAGCACACAGGGAATTCCTGGGGACCCACTGATGAGTCGAACCCCTCACATCTAAATATCAACGAAATACGTGTTTGGGTTTTCAGCTAGCACTTTTGTTTCCAGCATGATATCCTTTAACCCCAATAATGGATGGTGTTGTAGTGCTCACCAAAGTGAACGGATGCGATCCCCCGTTTCGCCGATTTTCTTAGACGACATCTGTCAGTTGGTATCAAAATAAAAATCATATCATTTAAAAAGTATTTACTACCTATCAGGGACTCTCATTTTTTCGCCTTGGCTGGACAATTAAGTCTTTGTTACAAATATTTTGTTTGGATGATGCGGTCTTGTTAGGAATTTTAATTTAAAGACAAACGCCCTTATCGAGACACCTAGCGTTATTTGAATTTTAAGAACCCCAATAGAAAACCGATGTGCAAACCCAAGTAGAAAACGTTATTGGTGGATGTTTTTAGCCTGCGTGGAAGGCAGATAAAAGTCATCTGTACATTCGCAGTGTTTGTGTGAGGGAATAACCCTTTCGGTTCGTGTTGTGCGATGACATTTGACAGTGTTTTAATCGGCTTTAAGAAAAAAGGGACATTAACTGAAATTCCCCTACAGGACTGTATTTATTCGCAGTTTTTATGTCAAGTGGCGTTTTATCCATTTCATTCGGATTTATATTTAGGCTATCCCGATAATCCCAGAAGTCAATAGTTGTCTCCCTATAAGGTAAACTCTACAAACTGCTTCCGAATGCCACATAAGGCTTCGCATTGTTCTTGCGATAAAACAGTAGGATAACGACATCGTTTTTCAACGGGTATTTCCTTCGGATTTGCTTATTCCAGCTGCTATATAACTTTCCTAAAAAACTTGGAAGCGAAACAATTTTCACTGGATGAGTTTTTTTCACAAATTCTCCATAGAAATATCAGTTTTCGCATGTACCAAGTAATCCACACCGTCTCTCGTCGGTTGTCGCACGACAGTGCGTTTACAAAAGATACAACTACACTTGCCAGAGTAAGATAGCACTGATTCGGCAAACGGCTACACCCATAGTACTGCTTCACCAAACGCTGACACACTATTTT